TCTAACCTTCCCTGCCTTCCTGAGGTGATAGGAAGCTACTCCCCCATGCCCCTCCCCAGGCTAACTCACCAACATCATCCGATGCAGATCAGCCATCTCAGGCACACGTCCCTTACAGAGTAAGATGACCGTGCCTGTAGGGTCCAGGCCACGACGCCCTGCCCGCCCTGCCATCTGTACATATTCCCCAGGGAGCAAGTCACGAAAAGTTGCACCATCATGTTTGCGCATAGAGTCAAATACCACAGTCCGTGCTGGCATGTTCACACCCATAGCAAAGGTCTCTGTAGCAAACAGGACCTGGGGGAAAAGGATTCAGCAATTAAGAGAAGCTCTCTCTCCTGGCCTCCAAAGACACCAAATCTGACTTTTCTAAGACTGGGCTCTTTCTCAGGATTAAACATATCCCCTTCTACTCAAGAAGCTTCCACTATCCTACCTTGACCAAACCACGACTGAAGAGCATTTCCACAATCTCCTTGAGAATGGGCAAAATACCGCTGTGGTGGACACCTAGACCCCGGCGAAGGAGCTCTGACATGTGCAGTACCTTTGAGGCAATGGTGAGGAAGCAAAATTTGGGTGTCACCATAGAGTCACAAGGTGCCCAAAGCCTAATTTAGCTTTTATCTCCCATAGACCTCCAACCTTCCCTCCCTGCAGGCCCCATATACCTGAGGTAGCTGGCGGTCAGAGCCTCGAAGTCGGGCAAGGCAGCGCTGCAGGAAAAGGTGGATCTCACTCTTCTCAGAGCCAGTGGTAAGGTCGAGAGAGCTGAGGCCTGATGCCTGCTCATCGCAGCGCCCCCGGGAAAAGGTGAACACAACCACAGGGAGCTGGGCACGGCTCCGTAGGGAGGCCAGGAGGGACAGGTATATGCCTCGGTCCTGGAGGGCAAAGAAGAGAGGGCCAGGGTCTGAGACCAAAGGGAACTGGGCTCAAATCATGAGGCCCTGACAATGAATATGGAGATTGAAAAGGGGAAGAGCTGAAAATTAGTCAATGGGGTCCTTGGGAAAGGAGGGTTAGATAAGAAGAAAGAGGTAGTTGGGGAAAAGGGGGTAGCACTAAGCAATGAATCCATTCCTGGAGATCCACCCCCTCCTTCCCATCCTAGATCTCACCTGTCCAGGTCCCCCTTGGTGCATTGGCTGCTTTGCCCCAAAGGTCTGTGCATGTTTGCTAGTCCTCTCCTTCTTGGCCTCCACAGCTGCATAGTATCTAAGACAAATGAATGGAAAGGTAGACAAAGCCTCAGTTGTTCAGGCCTTCCTAGCCATGGCTTATTCCTTGCTCCCTCCCCCAACTCACCCCTTAGTGTGGAAGACTCCTCGTGAATCCAAAAGCAGAAACAGCTCTCCTTGGGTTTTTGGACTATTCCCAGTGAACAGAAAATGCTCTAAGGGAACTGGTCGGGCAGCTGTGCTGATCACATAGAGATGCCGACGCTTCAGCCTCCTGGAGCAAAGGTCAGAGGTCACAACATTGTGGAACCACCCTTCCTCCCCACTGCCCACTCTGAATCACATCTCTGGCTCTGTGACTATTTCTGTGTTTTTGTCCGAAGACTTCTAGGAAATGCCTTGGGAAAGGCTTCCTGAAGGGGACAGGTGTGTGACCTTGTAGCATGTTAACCTCCATGGGCCTCAGTGTCCACATCTGTAAAATGAGGGGGCTGGACTAGATGACCTCTGTGGTCCCTCCTAACTCTAAATTTATGATCCTAGGACCCTTCCGCCATTATCCCATCACTCACTCTCCTTGCCTCCACCATCATCCTCCTTCTAATCCTTTTCCCCAAAGAATCTACATTGGACAAAGGGGAAGGGATCAAGGGATGGTGAATATATGAGAATGCCACATGCCCAAACAAGTTTACTGAAGATCTTTGATCAAGAGGGATAGCTGAAGGAAATTACCAGCATCACCACCACCACCCACCTCCGCTAGAGTTAGACTGCCCTCCTGGCTGTTAGTGTCAGCTTATCCTCCACAAAGATATGGAAATAATAGGACATGCTCCTTTCCTGCAGTATACCACTCAAAAACTCAAACCTTTGTGTCTGTCTTTATACTTGTTTGCGATGTTTGTGTATCCTTGATCTTTCTGTGACTAGCGAGGAGTAGTATGGGAAGAAGTCCTCATCATGCTCCCAGATCATGTTTCCATCATTCTCCTCAGTGCCACTGTCCCCAATGCCCTTGAATTTGCAGACTGGATTGGGTAAGGATCACAGACAGACACAAAGGTTTGAGTTTTTGAGTGGTATACTGCAGGAAAGGAGCATGTCCTATTATTTCCATATCTTTGTGGAGGATAAGCTGACACTAACAGCCAGGAGGGCAGTCTAACTCTAGCGGAGGTGGGTGGTGGTGGTGATGCTGGTAATTTCCTTCAGCTATCCCTCTTGATCAAAGATCTTCAGTAAACTTGTTTGGGCATGTGGCATTCTCATATATTCACCATCCCTTGATCCCTTCCCCTTTGTCCAATGTAGATTCTTTGGGGAAAAGGATTAGAAGGAGGATGATGGTGGAGGCAAGGAGAGTGAGTGATGGGATAATGGCGGAAGGGTCCTAGGATCATAAATTTAGAGTTAGGAGGGACCACAGAGGTCATCTAGTCCAGCCCCCTCATTTTACAGATGTGGACACTGAGGCCCATGGAGGTTAACATGCTACAAGGTCACACACCTGTCCCCTTCAGGAAGCCTTTCCCAAGGCATTTCCTAGAAGTCTTCGGACAAAAACACAGAAATAGTCACAGAGCCAGAGATGTGATTCAGAGTGGGCAGTGGGGAGGAAGGGTGGTTCCACAATGTTGTGACCTCTGACCTTTGCTCCAGGAGGCTGAAGCGTCGGCATCTCTATGTGATCAGCACAGCTGCCCGACCAGTTCCCTTAGAGCATTTTCTGTTCACTGGGAATAGTCCAAAAACCCAAGGAGAGCTGTTTCTGCTTTTGGATTCACGAGGAGTCTTCCACACTAAGGGGTGAGTTGGGGGAGGGAGCAAGGAATAAGCCATGGCTAGGAAGGCCTGAACAACTGAGGCTTTGTCTACCTTTCCATTCATTTGTCTTAGATACTATGCAGCTGTGGAGGCCAAGAAGGAGAGGACTAGCAAACATGCACAGACCTTTGGGGCAAAGCAGCCAATGCACCAAGGGGGACCTGGACAGGTGAGATCTAGGATGGGAAGGAGGGGGTGGATCTCCAGGAATGGATTCATTGCTTAGTGCTACCCCCTTTTCCCCAACTACCTCTTTCTTCTTATCTAACCCTCCTTTCCCAAGGACCCCATTGACTAATTTTCAGCTCTTCCCCTTTTCAATCTCCATATTCATTGTCAGGGCCTCATGATTTGAGCCCAGTTCCCTTTGGTCTCAGACCCTGGCCCTCTCTTCTTTGCCCTCCAGGACCGAGGCATATACCTGTCCCTCCTGGCCTCCCTACGGAGCCGTGCCCAGCTCCCTGTGGTTGTGTTCACCTTTTCCCGGGGGCGCTGCGATGAGCAGGCATCAGGCCTCAGCTCTCTCGACCTTACCACTGGCTCTGAGAAGAGTGAGATCCACCTTTTCCTGCAGCGCTGCCTTGCCCGACTTCGAGGCTCTGACCGCCAGCTACCTCAGGTATATGGGGCCTGCAGGGAGGGAAGGTTGGAGGTCTATGGGAGATAAAAGCTAAATTAGGCTTTGGGCACCTTGTGACTCTATGGTGACACCCAAATTTTGCTTCCTCACCATTGCCTCAAAGGTACTGCACATGTCAGAGCTCCTTCGCCGGGGTCTAGGTGTCCACCACAGCGGTATTTTGCCCATTCTCAAGGAGATTGTGGAAATGCTCTTCAGTCGTGGTTTGGTCAAGGTAGGATAGTGGAAGCTTCTTGAGTAGAAGGGGATATGTTTAATCCTGAGAAAGAGCCCAGTCTTAGAAAAGTCAGATTTGGTGTCTTTGGAGGCCAGGAGAGAGAGCTTCTCTTAATTGCTGAATCCTTTTCCCCCAGGTCCTGTTTGCTACAGAGACCTTTGCTATGGGTGTGAACATGCCAGCACGGACTGTGGTATTTGACTCTATGCGCAAACATGATGGTGCAACTTTTCGTGACTTGCTCCCTGGGGAATATGTACAGATGGCAGGGCGGGCAGGGCGTCGTGGCCTGGACCCTACAGGCACGGTCATCTTACTCTGTAAGGGACGTGTGCCTGAGATGGCTGATCTGCATCGGATGATGTTGGTGAGTTAGCCTGGGGAGGGGCATGGGGGAGTAGCTTCCTATCACCTCAGGAAGGCAGGGAAGGTTAGA